GAGATCCGGTTAGGGTTCCGATTGGACCTAGGGTTAGGGTTATGTTGAGGGCTAGGGCGGTCTCTTATACACATCTAGATGTGTATAAGAGACAGCCACTGGGGATCGAGCCCGCAACCTGGGCATGTGCTCTGACGGGGAATCGAACTGCGATCTCCTGGATCATAGGTCGATGCTGAACTGCTGAGCCCGCCGGCCGGGCAGTAGTCCTATTTTTATAAATGAGGAACAGACAGAGAGAGGTGAAGCAACTTACCTTAGGACATATAACTACTGAATAGGGGAATCAAGTTTCAATCCCAAGCAGATCACATACCCATTTTAGAACTTTACTATACTACCTCCCAGTATAGGTTGTTAAATATCATTATATAGAACTTTCCTGCTTCATTACAAAATTCTGCTAAACATTAGGAAGAGCCTATAGCAGTGGTATTGAATGCTATGTGCTCATTGTTTTCACATTGCTAAAATTCTCTTAAAATTCTACCTTACACTAGAAGTTCTCACTAGCATCGTATTAAATGAGATAAACAGATTGCCTAATATTTTAAGTGAAGTTACATCTCTTTGCTTGGAACATGGTTAAAAGCCAAAAAGTAATAAATAAATAAAAGTCTGAGAGTGCCAGAATTGATATTACAAAGATTGTATATTAAGCTTGGGTGTTTTACCTATATCCTCACTTAGAGCCTGATAATTTATCATACACATAGTTCTGAATAGCTGAAATGTCTATGAAGCACAAACTATGTGTCAGGTACTATGCTAGGCACAGTCTCTATCTTCAGAGTTCACAATCCAGTGGATCAGCTAGACATGTAAATACTTAAAGGCAATAAAGTGTTCCAGGTAGGAAATGGAAGTCTGTGTAGGGCACAGGGACACAGAGGAGGGAAGTGGGCAGTTCTACCTGAGCTGGCAGGATGCCAGCTCTTTGTTCAGGAAAGATTTCTTTGCAGGGTGATAATTGATAATTAGGTGTTTCCTGGGCAGATAAGAGGGATAGTATGTGAAAGAGCTGATAATACAAAGAACAATTACTCAAAAGACCCAGTAGTATAAGGCCATTTGCCATAGTAGCAAAAAACCTTGCACATTTTTGTAAGCCTATATAGCACAGTTCGATGATTTCTCAGAAAACAGTAAGAAAACCCTTTTAGAAGGGTTTCCATCTGAAATGCTGAAAATTTCAAAGCTTGAGTGTTGAAACAAGCAGCCCTCAGCTGTCTGGAAAACTGTGCTGCAGAATGCCTTTTTCTCTGAGGGTTGCAAATATAAATGAACTTTTAGTATAATTCTGTTCCAGACTATGCCAAGCACATTAAAGTTAGTAAATGTTAGCAGTTATGATAATCTCATTGTATTCAATACTCTTTTTTGTTTTGTTTTATTTTCTTCAGCCTCTACAGCTTTTCTTGCTGACAGCCAGCCTCCAAACCGCAAAGCTCTTGCTGTTTATCCTGTTTTCTTATTCTATTTTGTCATCAGTTGGATGATTCTCACCTTCACTCCTTAGAAAATCAGAAAATGGAAATTAAAACCAGTGAATTAAAAGCTCATCTGAACAGTGCAGTTCACTGTGAAGCTTTCCCTCTGGCCCTGTTTTGTCTAATTTTGGAGGTATTTTGTAACTGGCTATATATGTGAGGAGATTTCAAGGGAGCCATAAAGCACTGTCACCACTTATGTATGGAACTGATGTTTGAAAGGCTGTTCTTTTTCTCTTAATTCTGTTTCTTTAAAATACATGTGCAGCCCAGCCGGGAGTGGCTCAGCGGTTGAGTGTCGACCTAGGATCCAGGAGATCACGGCTTGATTCCTGGTCGGGGCACATGCCTGGGTTGCTGGCTCAATCCTCAGTGTGGGGCGTGCAGGAAGCAGCCGATCAATGACTCTCTCATCATTGATGTTTCCATCTCTCTCTCTCCCTCTCCCTTCCTCTCTGAAATCAATAAAAATATATTTATTAAAAAAACACAAAAACATGTGCATAGTATAGACAGTATAATAATGCCTTCTTAAGGCATGATAGGGGTCACTGTGGTCCACTTGGGTGACTGCCAATGACTTGGAAAATACATGGATACATCCTGCAAGTTGAATAGATTTGGTAACTGTATTTTCAATTTTGAGAAAACCAGTTTCGGTATAGCTCTTAAACACATTGTCTTATAACTATTAGAATATTCCTCTCTTAATAGAATAAATAAGTCTGTATCCATTTTATTTCTCAAGTTTAAAAAGGCAATGACAGATGGGGTTCATAGATGTGCAAGGAGAAAACATGCATTAATCAGTATTTAGATTTTGATCATAGTAAATTCTGCACTTGTTGCTTAAAAAACAAAACAAAAGACATTTAAAGAATCAGCTTTTTTCAATATTTCTGTATCATCACCTATTGCCATGCTTAACAGCACCTCAATGACACTCTAGTTTTAATCTTACACCCTAGCTCTGAATACACAAGCTAAGATGTTAACAGCAACATGTAGTTTTCTTTGACTGAAGCTCTCAGTGGTCCAATGCTTGAACTTATCCAAGTAGAACACCTCCAAAATATAGATTGGTGGGTCCCTAAGGCATATTATCATGTGGGTACCCTCTCCTAAAGGTAGAATGAGGCAGTTCAAATATAGCATAGCTATAAGGAATTCTTCATTATTCTGTGTATTATAGCCTGTAACTAGAAAGTAAAGCTAAATAAGAATCCTGCATTTAACCATGTGAACAGGGAGGGATTTAATGTTCTGATGGCTGATTCACAGAACAGCTAGATGCTTAAAGCATGAAGTAGGATGAGTTGGCTTTACAGCTGCTGCCTTTTCACAGTGGGCACAGCAGGTTTTTCATTAGATGTGGTTTTGGGGTTAGAGAATAGCAATTTATTTTCTTGGTTCTGGACTTTATTTGTAAAGCTAATTAGCTCTCCTTTACACAAGTACATTTTTGCACATGTGCACCTACTTGTATTCTCAGTATTCTCAACTATTTATGCACACAAATGTGAAGGCTTTTCAGGAAGCAGAGTGTCTGGGGCAGGCTGATTCTGAGCTAAACAGGGCTCCTCTAGTGTAATATGAGCTTCTGCCTTCTATAAATTGCACACTGAAGAACTCTTAATAGACAAAGACTAGGAGTCAGCAAAAAACATTTATTGTAAATATACAATTACTTAGAAAGATAGGAATTTCTTATTCCACATTTTTTCTTTATTGTAGAATTTAAATATTTATTTTGTATTTTAAATACACATATATCTATGTGTAGATATATGATTTTAAAAACAATTTTCTTCATCTCCAGATTAACCAAGTGAACAATACTTTGACAGTTGGGTTCTTGGAATGATATTCAGCTACAAAAGCATTACAAAGTTGCCCCCTCTGTCCCAGCCTTGGCCAAAGTTTTCGGTTATATATTTGTATTTATTTCAAATTCCCTTTTAAATTTTAAAATAAGCCTGTGCTAGGAGTAAGCCAATGCTTTAGTTAGGTAAAGAAAATACTTTGAAACTGATCCTAATTTTGAAATTAGTCTTAAATTATCATCCATATCCATTGTTGGAAATTTTCTAACTGCCACTAAAAATATCTCCTCCAAAGTTGTTATAATCTGTCAAAGTGATTATAATGTAAAATGAAGGAAATAACTATGCTCCTCAAAAGGAAATTAAGTAGTTACCAAATTTTAATCAGGCTAAATATTTGGTGAGAAATTAAAAAAAAAAAAGTTTTTATTGGTTTCAGAGAGAGGAAGGGAGCAGGGGAGAAAGAGAGAGAAACATCAATGATGAGAGAGAAGTATCCATTAACTGCCTCCTGCACTCCCCCTCCAGGCCTGTGCCCTGACTAGGAATCAAACCGTGACCTGGTTCATGGGTTGACAACCACTGAGCCATACCGTCCGGGCTGGTGAGAAATTCTTAAGACCACAACTCTGCAGGGAGTTTGTGTATGTATGGGAGGGGGTCATACATAGTAGGTGTGAAGGCAGTTTGTTCTTTGTATTAATCTGTTTCTCTTGGGTGACTTAGCAAATGGTTTTACTTGATTTAAATGATGGTGGGTAAAATGGAAATATAATTATCTTTCTGAAGAAAACGAGTGGTCAGTTTGAGGGTATAAATATTTTCTTATCTGTAAAAAGTGCAATGCTTTCTGTAACAGAAAACCTGAGTATCTAGAAGTTGTAACATCTTCCTCTGATTTGCTGCAAAGGCACATGGCTAATTATAGAAAGGAGGACTAGAAGGGAAGGGGACTCCAGCAAAGGCAACCCTGTTCCAGGAATTGGGAAGTTTCGTACTTCAGATGAAATTCCACCATGTAAGCATCATTGCTGAATGTGGTGCATCACTGCCATTGTGGCTTATCACTTTCTCCTACTTCTGAGATTGAGACTCCATTGTCATATTCTGTATTTAATCGCTGTCCAGATTATAAAAACTCAAATGATGGGAACATATTTGAGTATGCAGTGTAGTTTTAAAAGTGTCAGTCATTAATTGTCAGGTCTTTTACCTCTTAAGAGGCTTATTACTTGGGTTGAATTGTGTCTTTTCATTGTGGTGGGGGTTTTCTGTTGTTCGACAGGGTGGGGTCACAGGGCATGGCACTGGAAGCATTTTGCTGTTGACTGCAATTGTCTTTTTATAAAATGCCCCCTAAAATGTGATTAGAAGGCTAGCAAGCCTGTATACGAAGACTTAATTATTTGCCTTATATATTCTACTTACTGGAATTCCTGTTTATTCCTGGGGATGAATGAAAAATCTCCTGTCATTTCAAAATTTTGGGTAACATCAAGTCATTGGAATTTATCTAAAGCCTATCATGATATGATCAGATGTCCATTGCATGCAGCTGTTTTATTCCAGAGTAAAATAGTGAAATTGTGATTCTCACACTGTTAATTTCTGAGGCAATTTAGATGGAAATAAATGTGTAAATGTTAATCCATGTATGTAAATTAGAAACACTTTTTTAGATTCTGTGGGCTTTTATTAAAAATAAAAAAATTTTAGGGATTTACTTACACCATAAGATAGCTGAATAATAATGACAATAATATTACTGCTAATAATAGCTAACATTTACTGGGCACTTACTCTGTGCCAGGCACTATTCTATTTTTTTAAGAATTTTTTATAGCTTTATTGAGATACCTTAACCATAAAATTCACCCTTTTAAAGTGATTTTTTTTCAGTATATTCACATAATTGTGCAACTATTACCACTCTCATTTTAGAACATTTTCATCACTCCACAAAGAAAACCCATATCCATTAGCAGTCACTCCCCATTCCCCTTCTCCCAAGTCCCTAACAACCACCAGTCTGCTTTTTGTCTCTCTTGATTTGGCCCGACACTATTCTTAAGTGCTTTTCATGCATCTTTAATCCTCAGCATAAAGTGCTACAATTCTTTTGTAAGCAGAAAATTGAGGCACAGAAACGTTAAGTAAATTGATTTAAAATAGGAAAAACACGTTAGATGAGATCATAGTAGGGCCACAATTTTGAATTGCATTGTTATGTACATGATTAATATGCCCCTTCCCCAGGGTTAGTTCCCTGTTATTAGCCATTATACCCTACAAGTGACTGAAGGTAGACAACTCGCTATTTTTTTCCTGAATATGATAGAACACTATATTAGCAGCATCTGAGAAAAACAAGAAAAGTTATACATTGGGAAGTGTTAGGTTTGCTCCCTGTTTCCCTCCTTGAACCCCTTTTATCTCTCCTCCACTTCCACCATGACCACACACATACATCCCGCCCCCTTTTCTTTTAAAGTCTTAAGGGTAAAACTACTCCTGCCTCTTTTTAATTCTCCCAGAAGGATGGTAATGCATCAAAATTTCACTTGTCCTTTCAGGAATTCATAGTCAAGGGATGTATCTGGTTGCTTATAATACCAGTTATATTCCTAAGACCTCAGAGAGCAGTAGTGTGAAAACAGAATGCCTTTTTTATTTGGGTTAAACTAGGAGGGAGGAAGAAATAACAGAGTAAAAGTTTTGCCTTAATGAAGTCAGTGCTTCTGCCTGACAGGAAGTAGCCACACACACACTGGTCTTGTTCATTCTGTTCTCTTTCTTTTTGAGCCTTTGTATTCTGTGCCATCCCTGCTGGTAATTTTTTGGAACCCTTCAATGCTCCATTTTAATCCTGATCTTTCCCATAATGAATCTGTGAAAAGAATAAATCTGTAAAATTATTTGTGAATGTTAAATGCACAAATAAAAAACACGAAAAGGAGACTGTGTGTTTCCCTCTTCTTATGCTGAAAGTATGAAGATATTTGCAGCATACAGTAAAACCTAGATATAACAGACTAATTTGGGCAAGGGGGTGTCCATTAAAGCTGAAAGTCCATTATATCATAAAGGTTTTCTGAATGCATATATTAAAAAATTGACGGTTTACCTGATTTTACCTACTTAGACACATTTGTGTAATTAAAATTAAGTATGTGTGAAAAGTTTAATTTGACAGAAAAGTTTTCTATATGTATTACTGTAATTTTAAATTTATATTGAATAGGTCTAGTAAATGTTTGTATTCACCAGCCACCGTGAGGAAACAAATGCACACGACTCGGGCACAGCTTAGCACATGTGGAATCATGGGCTGGCATGTGTTAAAACTGCTACAGACAGTTACTCCACGTGACGACAGACCCACTTACGATGCACAATGCAGTGTGATCACATACTAATCGTTCCCTGAACATTCTTTACAAGTGGTGACACTTGGATATAAATATGTGGACTATATT